TGAACATTACTTTAAAAGGGGTACAATAGTTTTTTTCTAACTGTTGTAATTGTAAATACTTTCTTCTCTTCAATGTTTTTTTAGTTTTTTATAGTTTGATTTCAACATCTGTTTTTGTTTAAATAAATTTTAATCAAGGCTACTTTATGGTTAGAGTAAAAATCTGGATGAATACGCCATCAATATCATTGGTGATGCATTGATTTCAGAAAAGGGTCGTCCGTTAAAGGATGCACACTTTTTAGTCAACGAGAGTCAAACACTCTGATCCTTGTAGACATATGAGAAAAAATACGGTGTGGAAATCCATAACTTTGTTTATTCCTATATTTAGTATTCATCTATATGATCAGTTGCAATACTCTCATTAAGTTCAGTCCATTAACGAGGTAGTTTCAACTTTTGGCGTTCACTTAATTATATTAAGCAGACGCCAAAAGTTCACGTTGAATGGGGATAATTCTCGTTCTTATTGCACATCTTCTTTATACATACACCCGATCAGTGAAAAATTCTAAATAAAACTGAATACTTAGATTTTTTCAAAAGTCCAAAATATTTATTGGAAAAAGAAATAAAGTCGTTGAGAACATTAATTTCGGTTTCACGACGAACTGCGTGTGCTCAATATCATTTCTTTATTCTAGAAAAAATTACATAAAACATTAAAGTCATTGTTACAATTCCGATCCCAGTATTTTAAGAGCTGGCCTGCCAGACAAACGTGCAAACAGTGAACAGCTAATTCGGAAATTTGATTATAGTGACACATGATGCTTACTTAGCATGGGTTCTGTTCTAAGTTCTGCTCTACTAGCTGAAGCATAAGACAAATAGGATAGAACAGAACCCATTCTGCAGAAGCACACACTAGACATCCACGTTTTCTGAAAAACTTCAGTTTTCATCAGGTCTCGTTACAACCCCTCGAAAAAATGATCCGATCGAAAAGAAAAAAAACGAACCTGAGATAGGGTCTGAAGTATCTGTGGTAAAATTTTGAGCTCGATCGGACCATTTTTTCGAGGGATTGTAATGAGGACTGATGAAAACTGGAGTTTTTCAGAAAACCCATAGGAGAACGCGTCAGAAAATTCTGGGCAAAAATATATCGATTTTCTTTTTCGATGTTCTGTCTCTGGTATAAATTTCATCCCGATCCGACATCGGTTTCCCCGGTTTTCAAGAGGGCCAAAAAAGAGGGGGAGTACCCTTAAGAGTCGTCACGAGCTGCGAAACGTTTCATTTTGTAGAAAAATGTTTGCTTTATATATTTGTTGGAAGGAAAAAAATTTAAAGTTAATTGTGACACAAACACGATAAATCTAGAATACCATAACTATGCTTTATAGCTGATCATCATCTATATACGTAACCGTTCGGATCTCTTCAGGAATTCCTTAAACAAGCTTCTTTCTCATTCTTTAGGTTTTTGGTACAAATAGACAGACCTAACATTTCTCTACAAAATGAGACATTTAGCAAGTCGAGCCGATTCCCGCTAACCGTGTGATAATAATTTTTCTGTATGATCCAAAAAACATCATCAGAAATAACTGGTGCATATCCAGCACACACTTGTCAACTAGTGACGCTGTTCGAACATAAAAAATCGATCACGTTAACGTGACAGACTAACCATTAGTTAGGAAGCGATAAACTCTCCTAAGCGATGAAATACTTATTAACCTAATTATGAGCCTCACAAATGTAATAGAAAGACGGATAGTGTAAGTTAGATTTCTTTTAGAGTGTTATTAAAATACTACCTTACAAATCATAATAATTTTCTTCAGTCAATTTTCTCAGCGTACATGTACCATGCATAGAGGTATGAATTACAAAGTATAATTTATATATGGCAATAACATTGTGTTTTCGCTACTCGTCTACTTCTCTTTTGATACTAAATGAACATTTCTCAAAATTCTTAATATTTTGGACGGCTGTACTTAGCCTTTATGTACATAAACCCACTGATTTCGGGGAGAAAAAGATTCAAAAGCTATGACCAGTTTCAAGATACCGTCGATTACAGTTGTAAACATGCTGAGTCATGGCACGTGGTGCGTATGAGAATAACAACTTAATTAGTAGCAAGTCTATAACAGAAAAATAGAAGTTGATCAAAGAAAACAGCTGGTTTTAGGTTTTTGTAACATCTTTGATTGAATACTACCATTATTATAGCTACATAAAGGCAAACAACATTAGAACAACCACCATCTATTGAAAAACAAACAACTCTTCCGTCGGTCATTAATAAAGAACGTGATGTAGCACAAAAATCGAGATCGTTCGATAGTAAGGATAACTCAGCACGAGCCAGTAAAGGATCAACAATTAAATATTCAGAAATTGTTGAAAGTATGGGCTCAGAACCTCAAACAATTGATACTAAGTTTAACAAACAACCTCTACCACTAGTGCAACTACTCTTGCATCAAACATTACCAACATCCCATTCATCGACACGAACTACAAATGAGGATTTACAAAAAAGTCTTATTGGAAAAAGTTCAGAACATATTACAGCCTTATTAGATACTGTATTAGAAGATCCGGTACTTTTAAGAGTCGCTATACGGTAATTATCAATTCTAAAATTTCTACGCCTGAACAAGTATAATGTTTCAAAATTATCAGTTAACTTTATCCTAACCGTTTTCACCTTACTAGTATTAAGCGAGTTTTAGGCATAATATTGTTTGTGATGTTTAGTCGTTGTCGGTTGGATTGTACAGAAGCGGTACATCGCATGGCAAAATTAAAAGAAGAGAATAAAAATTATGTACCGAAAAAAGATTATTTGTTGCTAGCACAAAATTACAATAAACTGGTCAAGTCATGCGATCAGTTAAAACAAAATTTTCGAAATGCCAAAGTTGAATACAAGTATATCAAATTGAACTGTGTGTACCACTGATACTTTTTTAAATATTTAGTGCATTAACAGATGCTGTGGAACAAGTAATCAAAGAACGCGATAAGTATTTTACATTGTGTGAAACATATCGTGCTACCTTTACTCCAAGGCCAAAATGGGACCGTTGTGGGACGATCATTGAAGGTGGAACAGTAAAATGGAAAGAATTAGCGATTGGAAAAACAAGTAATGAACTAGTTGATTTGTTATTGAATGAAATTATCGGAGGAAATGATCAAGTAAAAGTGTAATAATCGATTTTATATACTTTCTAATGTTAAATTTATTTTAGAACAATAATGTTTATCAATTTATTGGTCTTGGTCTCGATACTTCGGTGCCTGCATTTCTACAAACAACTACAAATGTTCGTAATCGATATTTTATGTATCGTGATGTGGCAATTTTGATAAATGATATTTGGAAAGATAAGTTGGTATATGATGCAGAACAGGAAAAAATTTATCAGAAACAAATGATGCAGTTGGTCGAACAAGAACAGCAACATACCTTACAAGAAGTGACACTGAAAACAGTTGTCAACTCGCTACTTGATCCGGTGACGACTAATTTACAACAGCAGTCACCATTTCAAAAATCAAAATTAGTTGATTTTGTGAATATTTATTTGAAAAACCGTTTTGAAGATGAACAAATGCAGTTGGAATGGGGTTACAACTTGGCAGATGGATGTCGACGATACAAATATTACTCGAATATTGGACTCTTCTGGGCTATATTAACCGGAGATGTAAGTATATGCATTGTTTGTTCAATTTGCATGGTATTCTGCAAAACTTCTTTTTCTAGGTTGATGAAGGTGTTTACAAATATCGAAAAGACTTATTATCAAGTTTAAAGAAACATTTAGATAAAAGAATGTCTATGCATGCCTCAGTAGAACAAGAGCGACCGTTATTACCTCCACTTTTTCTATCTGCTTCGTCGATCATTACAGCATCTACCACAACATCAACCATATTGGAAAATGTTACTCAGTCTATTGTTAACAAACAGTTAAAACAAACAGAGTCGGTATTATCGAAAGATGAGTTACGAAACGCATTTCAAGAATTTTTTCCATTGAAATCGGAAGTTGAAATTGAGTCATTAGTAGCAGGATCAGAAATGGATTCAAAAATGTTAGATTCATCAAGAATTAATTATTCAAAACTATTTGATGAAGTAGGTAACATACAACATGTTAAGAAGAGTTGCCATGCTCTATGCGTTATTCGTTCTTACTCAGAATGATGAAGGAGATGGGGGTGAGTTTGTCACATTATTATTCAAACAAATCGATGATGAAAAGAAAGCCTATGTCAATGATATTAAACAATTAATACAAACAAAAAAGTAATTGAATCCTCAACTTTCGTTGATTAACTAGTTTGAAATTCTTTTCTGTTTTAGTAACATTTCGATGTTAGATTTTAAAAATGCTGTTGTTTATGTTGACCCAGAGATAGCTGATACCGAATTAACTCGTTATACTGACTGGGTTTATCGTCACGGTGGTGAAAGCAGAGCACTTCCTGTTGATGAAATAACAAAACGTTTAATGAACGGTATCATCTATCGTCACGGTCACAAACCACAGATGGGTCAAGATCAATGGAGATTCTCTCCGTCAGTAAATGAACGAATGAAACAACAACAACGTATCAAAGGAAAGAAAAAAAATGATGGAGGGCCGGGTGAAAAAGGTACAGAAACAACGAGCATGAAACGGGATAACACGAGCACAGATAAAAGTGGCGTGCGACAACCGTCGAAACTAAAAATACTTACACGGTCAAAGAAACCTGTAGGAAAAACGACAGCACTAGAAGGTTCACAGTCAGTAATATCGGGTAACAAACTCAAAGTAAAAGAAGATAAAAAGGACAATAATAAAAATAAACAACCGAAAAAAGTAAAAATAAGACGAAGAAAAAATAAATATTTATCTGTATAAACGTTTCAAAACGGTTATTTGACAAACATCATCTATCAACCAAAGCCAAAATTCCATGTTATCGTAGTACTGGCTAACGGAAGATGTGTCAACTAAGTACCAATCAATACCGCAAATAATAAGCGCAGTATTATACGTATCAAGAAAGACCATAACAATTTGCTAAATCTTTATTCGATAAAATGAGCAGAAATGTGTGGAAGTTCTATGTAATTATTGATACCGATGCCAAAATACTGACAGATCAGCCAGCGTGCTTTACGAGCGGTCGCTCGAACCTCTGAAGAAAAATTGCTATAAAAAAATTGTGTTTCTATGGAGACTGCACGCACCCCATATTTTCCTTATCTAGCGCATGTACCTGAGAAATTCTAAATCCGCCACTGTGCTAAAAGTGCAGTTTTTAGCATCTGCATTTACCAAAATGTTGGGAATAGATTTTGTTCAGCCAATCGATGACGAAACCGCGACAATTATCTAGGAAATATTTGCTGGTCAGTTAACAAAACCTATTAGAAATACAAGCTTAAGAAATAAATCAAATAGTACAGGGAAGAAACGAAGATTGAAAAGTCAGAATCAGCATGTGCGCTTTTATTTTCATCGGAGTTTACCCTGCGGATTATAGCTCATGAAAGAGTACCCTAGTGAATGTACTCAAGTGTGAGTACTCAAAAAGTACTCTGATAGAAAAACCGGACGAGTACTCATACGTACTCATACATTTTTTTACTCACTGAGTACTCACCTGAGTACTCATGAGTGAGTAACAAGTA